CGTCGCCGGGTGATGGGCGGCGGGGACGTCTTGTCCTCGAGGAACGGCTGTCGGCTCGACGCGTCCTCCCCAGTCTGCCCCCGGGATCCCCGGTCTGCTCCGGTCTCTCCCTACTGCTAGCCCCTCACTTGGAACTGCATGGTTGACTACTTCTGGTGGTGTTTTGCTGGTAGGTGTCTTTCAACTGGGTCATCCCGCTCTCGTTTCCTCACAGTCCAATAGTTTTCTCGCGAAGTCCCCTCCATCCTCTGTGTTGTCGGGCTACTTCCAGGGCTCAGCCCCCAACGTGCCCCTGAGCCAGATCTCGGGCGTGGTGTCGGCGGCGACGTTGCAAGGCTCCCAGAAGCTCTCGCCTCGGTCAGGCCCTGCTCATTCCCCCTCTGGCCCAGGCCCCACGTGGTGTGGCGCTTCTGATGTTAGCTGGAGCGAGGGCGGCGCGCGTCCCACGCTGGCGCGGCGGGTTCTTTGGGGCGGGGCGCGCAAACATTTTCACACCATATAGATAAGACGGTTGTAATAGCCTTATTCCTTCCGGAAAAAACAACAAAGGGGATATAGATGCATTGATATTTCGGTAACGTGCCTTTACTGAAACGAATAGCAGAAGAAAATTCCAATAGTAAACAGTAGTAGTAGATAAGAATTTACTGCAGCCATTCGTCTCGATGAAGGTTGCCGAAATATCGACGCATCTACATCTCTGTACATGGTTTGTTCTGCGAGGAAGATGGCCATTTCTGCTGTCCTATTGATATGCATAATGTTCCTCGCATATGCACTTAACAACTTACGTGATCTTCACAATATGCCAAACAGACATCCCTGCGCACATGTTGTTTCGCCGGTAATCTGGCTTTCGCGTCCATTAGCATCGACGAGATGGGCCATTTCGGAAGATGGGGCCCACCGTCATGGACGTTCCGGGGGGGGGGGGGGACGACGGCTTTCCCCACCCGATCAGGCGACGCGTACCGTTTCCCCACTCAGAAGTGGTCAACAACTGGCGCAGCTCTGTTGATGCGGGCAGATCGGCTGGAGCGTCGGGCTAATCCGCGCTCATCTCCCGACCTAATGGTTATGTTTGGTGCGGCGGGGGAGTTCCGGAACATGGCTGGCTTACTTGCTGTCCCATGCCCCGCTGGGAAGCCCCACCGACCATGGACGAGCGGCACGCAAAATGAAAAGCATGAAAATGTATGTCTGCACAAGTTGTTGCAATTTGCGGGTGTGCTCGCTTTACTAGTGCCGCTCGCTACGGTTCTACCCTCGTCCTACGGGCCTTGGAGGACCCCTCTAAATGTTGTCGAGAATAAGTTCTTGATGACCATGAGAATGGTGTCGAAATTTAGATTAGAGCATCTCCTGTCACCACTGGCTCCTGGCCTTCGGCTTCTTTCTTGAGGTCGCGTTGGTGATATTTTGCCCAAAAATGACGAATAGCGTTCACTTCTCGCAAAAAGTGAACTTCAGAGAGCTTTCCAGACCTTCTCTTCTAATCGAAATCGCTCTGAATTACTTTGCTATCATTCTGTTTTTTTCAAGGTCAGATCATCTAAGGTCAAGCTACGTTAAACTTTGAGGTTTGTGACCATACCTTACCGTGTGAAGGTCATACGATTCAGACCTTAATGACACATGAACTATGGCCTTTCTAACCGTGCTCTTTCCCACTGATGTGCCTTGTTACGTACCCAATGCAGCCAGTTAGGACAATACAGCAATCGCCTTCATCCAGTTTACCCGGCATGACCTAGCAGAGGTCACGCTGTGAGGGGTCTTGCTTGTTAACTTCCTGCTCCGTTCGCTGCCTCGGTCCGTCGTTGTGCGGACCTACCCTGACCTCGCTGGGATGGCGGGCCGGCGGGTCAGTGGGGACGCTCACCAGCCCCGGCCGGCCGTGGGCACCCTCTGACCCTGGTGGGGAGGGGGCCGCTCGGCCACCGGGGCGGCGTGCCTCTGTACCCTGACTGGGTCGCGAACCTTCTCCAGCTGCCTGGAGCCAATTGGGGAATGCCGGCCGGTCAGCGGCGCCGCTCACTCGTGCATGGATCGGCAGAAATGCAAAGTCTCAAAGATGCACGCTTTAAGTGACGCTGGAGAGCGGAGTGTTTCAGGGTGACAACATGTGGCGATGTCCACTAGTGTCCGTGTTGTAGAGTTTTCCAGCCGTCATTTAACACTCTTTTCTGCATTGTCGTATCGTGTTTAGCTCTTGAAATAACACCAAGGGTTTTTCAGGTGTTTATTTAACCACCTGATTTTCAGGTGTCAATGTAACATGATCTGATTTAATCTGTCTGAGGCTCATATCGACGATTGTTAATTTAGACTTAATGGTGCATAGTATGGCTTAATATATATATATATATATATATATATATATATATATATATATATATATATGTGTGTGTGTGTGTGTGTGTGTGTGTGTGTGTGTGTGTGTGTGTGTGTGTGTGTGTGTGTGTGTGTGTATGTGTGTGTGTGTGTGTGTGTGTGTGTGTGTGTGTGTGTGTGTGTGTGTGTGTGTGTGTGTGTGTGTGTGTATCACATTTATTGGCTCTGCGCACCTATCTGATGTAGTTTGACGAACGAGAGCTTTCCAAAGTTTTTTCACATGACTCCAGTTTGCTTCGTTTTCGATATCTTAGTGGGGTAGAGGGGTTCTGACGCCTCATCCGAAGGGCAAGGGTGAAAAATTTCGTGAGTCGTGGGTTAAAGTATGCTTATGATGCAAGGGTGCAGAATTGGGTCCAAAATCAGAATCGAGATGCCGTTATCTGATGATTCTGTTAGGTTAATCCCAGCCTTTATTCAGTGTTTTATGGCCGGCAAATGCAGCTTTAGTGTGAATGAACCCAGAAACGAAAAATGTTTGATGATTATGCCGCATTGCATTTAATTTGGCTTTGCTTTTTGCGTTATATTGCATTAAGAGATATCTTGCAACGGTTTCTGAAAGATTTGACTCCAGGTGGCAATTCAGACGGTTCCGAATGTTGTCGGTGACAGAAAAGGCATCGTTTCCAGCCCTGCCCAGCCCTGCCCTACCCTGCCCAGTCCTGCCCTGCCCAATCCTGCCGCCACTAACCACTAGCCCGAGCAACAACCCGGCTCCGTCACCGTCCAGTTCAGCAGTCGCTTTACGGCGGGCAGTGGAGCGAGGGGTGGAGCGTTACAGCCGTCTGTGGGCGGGAAAGCGCGCTAACCCAGCCCGCTGTCCCTTGCATTTCACGCGTGAGCAGCGCCTTTTGTCGTACGACGACCCGGGGCTCCAGCCGCAGAGTGGAAGGGAATGGGTGGGAGCGCCGCTCAACGCGTGGGCTTACGTCACCGCTGTGCCCGCGTGCTGGCCGGGACTGTCAACGCCGTGAAATTCCGCTGAACGCGCCGGTTTCCCCGCGCTTTCGTGGCGAATATAGCCGACTGTGGCGCGCGTGGGCCGGGAGACCCTGAACGTGAGCACCAGAATAGTCGGTGTTTACGGAAAAGCCGCGGCATGTCACAGAAGTCGCAGGGCGGAGACGAGAAGAGAAGACGCAGAGCTCCAGCACGCCTGGCGCGCAGCCAGGGGGAGCGCTGTACTGCGCTGGACGTCCTTGTCAGCGAACTAAGTGTCTCAGCTACAGCTGAGCTGCGCGGCCTGCTGGGCGGCACTTGGTATCTGTGACGTTGGGCGTGCTGCGCTTATGGCAACTGGCAACACGCCGCACCTGGAGCCCGCTGATAACCCAGGCTCACAATCGGCTCCTAAGTCCCCCCCCCCCCTCACACCCACACACGCGCGCTCGTTCTCTATTCATGACGAATAATTACTGTTTTAAAAGTCACATTTTGGTGGCGTGGGAAAGTCGTGCAGAGAGGCGGCACGTGCAGGCATGATCAGTAGCGAGTCCAGGCGTCCAGGCGCGGCCTGGCACTCCCTACTGGGCGCGTCCCGCCCGTGGAAAACGGAGCTATAAAGCTATATGATAATGTAGGTAATAGTAATGATGTATGAAGAATTGATCGACGAGGGCTATCGCTGCTGGAAATGGCGCAACAAAGAGGGGCTGATGAGGCTTTAGTCCCCCCCCCCCACCCAGTCAGGTTGGAGCGCGGTCTTTCATCACAACACTACTGAGCACAATTCCGGACTCTGGGGATCAGAAATAAACTGTTTTGGTTTCAGATTTTACGGACGCTACCATTCGCAGCAACATTTACAGCCAAATAGGCGTGAGTTACTAACAAGACAAGCGAATAGCTGAGTGAACGTGTACTGCATTCAGCTGTAACTTACAATCGTTTAGAGGGGGTGCTCCACATTTATAAGGGGATTTAAACTGGAATAGCCATTTTGAAGACCTTTTGGTGCTGTTCACAATCTTGCCCCTTTTAAGACCTAAGCATCTCTGGTTTTTGAGCTACACGCTCGCGAAAATGGGGAAAGGTATATCCGGGAAAGTATTTCAGCCCCCTTGGTATTCATGACGTCATAAGAACGTCATTCGAATCCTGCCACTTCATAAGTCATGCGGCAGTCAAGACCAAAACTTGTAATTGCTGGGGCGTCCATATCTGGTGTTTGTAAGCGCGGTTACCAGATACAACGGCCGTCAATTGGCTCTCAATCAACACTGTGCAAGATACGATGCTGTAATCAAATCATGATGCAATGAGGAGCGTATCTACTAAAAAGAGAATTGTGCTATTTAGAGCACTCTTTTCCGCTTATAAAGTATGCCAATAGTTAGAAGACATCTTGTGTCATATATGATGTTTGCCTCCATATCTTCAAATGTGAAACGGCATTTAATGCACCAGGGCGCGCCATCGTCGGTAGCTTATTGAAACGGTAGATGCTGTACCTATTAGCGTTTGTGGGGTCCGTTAATCTGTTCACGCGGCGTAGGTACTGTCAATGGGACTAGGATTCGCTCATAAATGTGGCCACCCCCTGTGGCAAATTTTGACCGTACCATGGCTCCTAGTAGCTGGTGAGTTAGCTACACGCTTCTCACCTGTTTTCAATCCACCGCTCCAGGTTACCAGCGTCCATCGCCTCGAGCGCCAGACAGGGCTCGCGGAAGTCACAGAGCGACCCCGAGTCTATCGAGCGCTTACGTCGACCCAGCAACGCTGAAACAGAGCAGCGCACACGGCGTCAATGTGGGGGTCTCGAGCAACGCCAGCCGAGGGAACAGGGCGTGCGCATAAGTCTGACTTAGCTGGACGCGAAATGAAAGTAGTCATGGAAGTAGCTGAGCAATTTGGCAGACAGTGGGTAGTTAAACACATCTGAAAAATGTTAATGCATGTTTTTGTTTCTCACGATGCCTCTGCTTTTGCAGTGTCATCAACTGATAATCTGGGAGTTTCAAGACGCCTATGACGTTATCTCAGGATTGTTGGACAGGCTCAACTTCACATCCTGGATACTGGTGTTAGTCATATAAAGATGCCTACTCATATTCAGTGCAGTGATATCTGACGGCAGTGAAACGTTAGATCGCAGCACGGCGTCCATCCTTCGGTTGCGCCGATTGGAAACGGCCATAGCAGGCACTTCTGTATCGTAAGGCAAGACAAATCACAGTAACCAGGTCTCTAGGTTCAGTGACCGGACATCACTCCCATCCCGAAGTCAAGCACTCAAGCGATGCATAAAAAGGGCGCAGTCAAATTTCGTTCCGATTCGAGTGCGGTTCACTGCCACCGTTAATGGGAGCCGGTTTTTGCTCTGGCTGGACCAGCTGAGTGATCTAGGCCACGACGCGTGAGGCGCGGGGCGCCTCTTTTGCAGGGCAGTTCTTGCTGGATGCGTGGCGGCATGTTCACTGGGAAGTGTGGGAGCTCCGTCCGATAGCAGCTCGTGGTGTCATTGTTGGAGACGGAGGACGGTTTTAAGCGGACGTCAGACCGGTCAGAGAGTGCAACGAGCGATAACATTCCAAAACGGACATGAGAAAGGAAGAGTATTGGCAAGGTTATGTGGTTTATGCCGTTCAGGATTGAACCTGCAGATGTACAAATCGGGAGACATGCGGTAGTAGAACCATAGTTTCTCTGGAAGTCGATTTCACTAGTAGAAGTTGAACGTGTAATCTGCATAGAGGCACGGTGTTTTAGTCATGTAGTTGGATAAAACACCGTGTCTCCATGCAGAGCAATGCACGTTTGAGAAGCATGTAAATGCTTCACCGTAATTGTGCAGCTGAATTGCAACGATCCATGCAGGACGATGCAAAGATGAATTCACCTCCGAACTTCTGTGGAAGACATAAATGCGAACATGCATCATGGCAACGTCTCCATACGGGCGCGTGCTCAAAACACTTATTATGTGCGTCCGCGCGCTTGTAAGGGGCGAAGTGCCCCAGGGCGACACCTCGGAATATCTCTTCTGACACCGCCTGCACTCATGCCTGCCAGGGAAGCCTGGCCGCCCAGCTGGCCTCGGGGCGCCGTTACAACCCGCCGGACTGCTCGTCACGCCCTGGCACCGACGGCCGGGTGGAACGGGCCCGAGCGTTGGACGCGGCTGGCCGGCCGGCGGGCGGGTCTGCGGCGCCTCGGTCCGTGCCGCTGCAGATCCGGGCCAACCCGCGAGGCCGCCGTCACTGGGTCGCTGCAAGCTCCGCCGGCCACCGCAGGTGCACCGGTCTGACAGGCACGGGAGGCGGACGGGGCAGCAGGAGGGACAGGATGCGGGTGGGGGTGCTGATTGGCGGGACAGGAGAGGAACGGGGCAGGAGGCGGACGGGGCAGGAGAAGGAGGGACAGGATGCGGGTGGGGCGCTGATTGGCGGGACAGGAGCCGGACGGAGAAGGAGGCGGACGAGGCAGGAGGCGGACGGGGCAGGAGAAGGTTGGGACAGGATGCGGTTGGGGCGCTGCTGGCGGGACAGGAGACGGACGGGGTGGGAGAAGCGTGGAGCACAGAATGCGGGTAGAGCAAAAGTCTGGCGAGACACGGGAGCGAGACGTGGACGGGGCGGGAGGCAGACGGAGCGGGACATATTCTCCGAATAAATTGTCATTTGCTTTCAGGCAATGCCATACTATTGTTTGCTAGTTACCTGACTGACACACTACTCTGAAGATCAATACTTAGGCATCCAACAACAAACTCCGCTGGCTTCCTTTCACAGCGAACTACCAAATCCTCCACGGGTGCACCATCACGACGTCCTGAGCCCTGCAAGTTGGAAGATGCGGCATGCACAGTGTTGACGCGCCTGGGTGTGCAAATAGTGCGCATCGAGTGGAGTGTCGGAACGATTTCAGCATTTGCGCACCTCCGCCACGTAGAGTGTCTATAACAGGCGTTCGGGTCAACGGCAGAAGCTCGCTGCGACGCTTGGTGAAGTCCAAATGCGTGGATTGTGCCAATTCAATTCATGCCAGTGGTAGTCGTATTCATCAAACAGCCACTTCGCACCTTCTGTTACAACCCTGACATGGCCCACTCAGACGACCGGCGAACTGCACGGTTTTGTCATTCCAAATGCAAGTTTTACCTTGCCACATTAGCGTAGTTTTAGTATCGTGTTTACCGAAGCCCGCTTAAATGCACACACCTGTAGTGTTCACCGATGACCACAACAGAATACTAAAACTGTCGTCCCGTCCCGTAAATGCCATCGTTGAGCGCTGGGATTTGCTGTCTGTCTTTTCCCTTTTGTCCGACGGCGTGCGGGTTTATGATCGCAAGCTCGCTGCATAAGCAAACGTGAATGTGGGTCATTCAAACAGACAGACGCCTGCCGAATACCAGGATGTCAATCACACACACATGCATGGCGTGAAGGGATGTACGCAGGATTTCACAGGGGGCACAACGCGATGAAAAAACGGCACATGCCGAGTTAAGCGCACCACAGGTGTGAGCAAGTGTCTTGTGGGTAGTGTGGCGATGCCGCATGTCCTCGTTCTTTCTCTTTGTATGCGTCTACTTGGATTTTCGAACTGCCGACTTTGAATCGTGTACATATAAATTCACGTCATATATTTGGTGAGGCGGTCACGTGCCCCCAGCGATTTCTATGTGCGTACGTCCTTGCTGACGCAGAGCTCGTGTGGCGGCCGCGTCTTCCTCAGCTATGTCAGGAGTGCACACAGCGCAGGGAAGAGAAATCGATGCAGCGGACACATGCACGTCCTAGATAGCGTCGACCAGAGAGCATCTGGACGGGTCAGTTCTTGCACCATCACGGCGCCCCGAATAGAGCATCCGGCCTTCCGGTTTGTGTACCCGCCTGTCGCGGTCATGAAGCGTGCTGGCCCGCACCAGAGTCCATTCGATCGAACGTGTGGAACGCGTGGCTTTAAGCATCCGCATCGTGCAAGAGGACGGCCCGAGTTTGACCTTGCTCTGAGAAACCGCACAGACCGCGTGGCCCGACGACACCCCCAAGTATTGTGGTGTGAATACTGCTGGGAGGCTGGGTAATGAGCACCAGAGCCACTCCGAGCCATCCCTTTTGGCGTTCTTATTCACGTTGCCTCAAGTCTGCATTGCCTGTACGCAACCAGTTAAACAAGAATACGGTTATCAAACTCGTTAACGCCGCTGGATTCTCCCGCTTTGGGCGCGCTGTAATGTTCGCTCGCCGTTTCGTATTTCGGCCAAATTTGAGCCTCATTCTTATTCACTTAAGTAACGCTGCAAAGTCGGGTGATGCAAATTATTTCACATCAGGCGGAGGCCGGTAACGGCCACGTCCCCTTCACCACATCAAATCAGCTGGGGGGGGGGGGGGGACACAACATGGCTGGGGAGACGCGGTGGCCCTCCTGACCCGACTACTCCAAGCGTGGTCTCTGCCACACGGACGTCTCGGTCAGCCCGTCTGGGGTAGACCGGTTCAATTCAGCACAGTTCGGTTAAATCCGGAGCAGTCCAGTCCGATCTGGAGTATTCAGGTCCGATATGGAGCAGTCCGGTCCCATCTGGAGTCGTCTGGTCCGATCCTGAACAGTCCGATCAAATCCGGAGCAGTTCGGTCAAATCCGGAGCGGTCTGGTCCGATCCGCAGCAGTTCGGTCCGACCCTGAACAGTCCAGTCCGATCCGGACCAGCGCGGTCGTTGGCCCTCAGCTGGCGGCGGAGGAGGCTGCTGCAGCGCCAGTTACCACCACTCTTTCCTCCTGTTCCTCATAGCAGCTTCCTCAGACGCCAATGTTGGTCCTGGGGCGAGTCCCGTCTCACGCTCGGTAGGCGTGTGCAGGCATTGCCTCCGGCCCGGTCGGGACGCGGGAAAAATGTCCCCGGGCTTTGTGAGCTCCACGTGTCGCGACACCAGAGCGCATTCTCACGGCGGATCACGAGAGGGCTGCGGGCCCGGGCGTGCTGGGGCGCGCAGGTGACCGGCGGAGCAGAAAAGAAGCCGGTGACGGTCTGACGGTGCGGTGAGAGGCACAAGTGATGCGTTGTCGACATTCGGCACATAAGCGGGTTCTGGACGAACGGATTTAAGGAGAATGGAGTCTGGTGATTCTGAGGTGAAATTAGGTTGGACAAAAAGGATTTAAGAGGTGAGCTGCATGAAAATCAACGCGTTCCTTGCGGTAGTTGGATCGTTGTTAGTTGGTCTGTGTGCGCATTTTTGAAGAGTCGCCTACAGCCAGAATGGATTACGCAGACCGGAGCGCGATTTGGGATATATACCTGGCCAACGGTACTTGCCCAGGGTGTATGCGAGGCAACCCAGCAGAACGCTTTAAGCGTGCGAGTGATACCTATAACTGCAAAAGACATAGATACTCTCACCGCGCCGGACGGGGAGGCTAACCGCGGCTCCCGTGTTCTTGCGGGACCAATGGCACCCTGGCACGAATGAGTGCAATGCTGTGAAACGCAGGGCTAGATTTCTCCAGCCGCGTGACCAGTGGAAGTCCGCCCCAGCGTTGTCTACGCGTGGAGCCCATGCAAGACTGCACCCGTGTGCACTGTGTCGTCACGGTTTCCGACTGCCGGACCCGCGGCCGTGCCGGAGCTCCTCTCGCCGGCTTTCTCTGCAGGCGAGGCTGGCGCTGGCTCGGCCGGTGGCCGTGCAGCAAACAGGAGGAGGCGAAACGCGGACAGAACGGGATAGTGACGTCACCTGCCAAACTCAAGTGGAACAGGGTGGTGACGTCACTGTCAAACTCAAGCAGAACAGGATGATGATGCCACTGCCAAACTTGGGCACAGCCGGACGCTGGCGTCACTGCCAAACATGGGCAGAGCCGGACGCTGACGTCACTGCCAAGCTTAAGCAGAACAGGATGGTGACGTCACTGTCAAACTCAAGCAGAACAGGATGATGACGCCACTGCCAAACTTGGGCACAGCCGGACGCTGGCGTCACTGCCAAACATGGGCAGAGCCGGACGCTGACGTCACTGCCAAACTCAAGCAGAACAGGATGGTGACGTCACTGTCAAACTCAAGCGGAACAGAGCGATGATGCCACTGTCAAACTTGGGCAGAGCCGGACGCTGACGTCACTGCCAAACTTGGGCAGAGCCGGACGCTGACGTCCACTGCCAAACGCGCCGTCGAAGACGTGTGCGGTCGAATACACTCCTGCAAGGACGGGCTGGTGCTTTATTCTTGGTTTAAAGAGATTGTCATTTTGTGAATTGACCAGTTCTGTAAGCAGGCATATCAAGGTGGTAGAACCCCACTGTCAGTGGCACCTTTCTGGACAAAGTTTCACCCGCACGAAATGACGTTCCCAAATGCGCGGTGAGATGTCACCGCACTCTCTACAGCATCAGATGACACAATGCTGTGCATCGCTTTAAGTAAAATATCAACACAAGTAGCTCATTTATGGCATTTAACGCGCAAAACAAAGAAATTAACTGTCGTAGTATCAAAATATGTAGGTAATACATTAGACCATTGAGTACGTAGAGCACGCAATTTTCCCTAAAATGGATGGTGGCAATCAAGTGGTTGGTACTGCAGTACTGAACTTGGTTATGTATCTATCTATTGGCAAGAGGGAGTATTGAAGGAGGTCTAGGTACCGATGTTAATCATTGCCAAAATGGTTGTCAAAATCGCTGACAACACCGCAGTCTAAAGGTTTGACAACGCACTGGCCAGGTATCATTGATCACTCTCAGGATTCGATGTCAGTGGTGTGTTGCCTCCACTTATTAACCGTATGCTGTGTTGTACTCTCAAGTAGGAAGTAAGCGCAGTGTAAAGACGAACACGACGTCGCGCTGCGCGTCGCCCGTGCGGGCTGTGCAGCATGAACGCGTTCTTGTTGCCGCAGATGTGTGCATGGCCGCCTAGACAGCTCCACATCCACGGTACCAACCGCTTGATTGCCGCCATCCATTTTAGGGAAAATTGCGTGCTCTATATACTCGACGGCCTAATGTGTTACCTAGATGTTTTGATGAAAAAGGGACGGGTCCAACCACCACTAGGACGAGATCCAACGTGGAGGTATACATATATGTACATACACACATGCATGCAGAGACATGATTACTGACGTCATCACAGGGAGATAATACAAGACAACAGACTTAAACATAGCAACTTTTTAAGCATTTAGTATTTTTGACCAGTTTTTCTAAGCTGGTCAACGTTGTGATGCTGAGACAACAATGGGCGCGATGGAGGGACAGGACTCCCCAAAGGGATGCAAAGATTCATTCTAACACCGTGCATATGGAGATGTCTGGGCGGCCATGCACACATCTGCGGTAACAAGAACGCGTTCATGCTGCACAGCCTGCACGGACGGCGCGCAGCGCGACGTCGTGTTCGTCTTTACGCTGCGCTTACGTCCTACTTGAGAGTACAACACAGCACACGGTTTATAAGTGGAGGCGACACACCACTGACATCGAATCCTGAGAGTGATCAGTGATACCTGGTCAGTGCGTTGTCAAACCTTAAGCCTGTGGTGTCGTCAGCGATTTGAATCCCTTTCTAACGTCGTTGACTGTTCCTTGGGTTTTAAAGGCCGCTGTGATCGTTGTGCAGTTAGTTGGCTGGCAAGTCATGCTCAAGTTGTTTGCTGCAGTATAAATATCATCTAAATCTAAATCTCTCCCATCTCTCACGAGCTGGTCGGCAAGTTCCGACACATCCGTGAGACTTGTCATTCCCCGCCTGTCTGCATTTCACCACTGTTTGTACCGGTTTGTCAGACGATGACTCATTCCCCCAGGATATTCCAGGCATTCTTCTCAGCACTTTAACCTGTGTGGCCATGGTGCGAGGTTCGTGCAGTACTAGTGGTGAAGACCTCCAGCCGAATGAATGACTTCCAGCTCATTCACACGGCTAAAGAGCATGCTCGCACGCCACAACGTGAGATAGGGTGGCTGCTCTTCAATAATTCGTCACAATGACACTCTTAGGGATAAGGCACAAGCGATCATTTGTCTGGCTGGGCATCATAAGATTGTATGAAGCGGCTCCTTCCTGTCCAGGCTCCGCCCACGTATTGAACGATGCTCATCGCTCCGGCTGAGAAACGCTGAAGCAAATTCAGCTGTGGGAATGTTGTCACCCCAGTAAGCTAAATACATGCTGAACGGTCAGCTCTAATTGTGACATCTGATCATGAGGTAAGTGACAATGTAAGAGTTTTATAGGTTTTTTCCGAAGCCCAACATAGCGCAACAACCCACGAGGCCAGTTTAGTGTCCGCTTTACTCGCACCAAGAAGCATTTCGTCTCTAATAACGTTCAAACACCGATGGCGGCGTTGGCATTGCATGTTGTTTGTTAATATCATCGCAGAAAAACTTCTGCGACAATACTGCCCTCGCTATACTAAAAATGCATTGATTGACACTGCGAATTTGACGTCCATTTCCAAATGAAATAAAGTGCCGGTGATTATCATTGTGGAACAGGTTTCCAGAGGTTTCATATTTCGGCGTCCTTCTTGCAGTTGGAGATTGGCCCAGATTCTATTGTCCACCCAGCCCCTTCGTTCAACCGCGCTTCCTTTTCTAATTTGCCTTATTTTCGCCGCAACGTCTCGGGTAATGCCTATTCTATTCCGTTGTCCTGTTCATTGTTCACGTCCTCTTTGCCAGGCTGTCGACTCTGTTCCTCTGGTTGGACCTGTTCTATCCTCATCTTCAGTTGTCGCCTCCTGCATTGTTATGACCCTCTCGTCCCGCAGTAGTCTTCTTCAGCGTTGTCTCCGTGAGATCTCCTCCTCTTGTCAACCCGAACTCTTGTCGCCGCCCCGTGTCAGCGACGCGTGTCAAGCCATCGCTGTTTCGGCTTCCACTCATGAGTGCTGCTTATTTACTAAGTGCCATTTCTTCATATTCTGTTCCTTCAGATCTCATTTGTTAGTCATATTAGCTGCTTCCTGTTGGCCCCTTATTCCCATTGGGACGAACAGTCCGGGCCACTGTCAGCAAATATGATGATAAGATCCCTCGGGTTACGTTTATGCGGCACAACACGAGTAAACATTTCTTGCCATGTGGTCTCTGCATCCTTACTGTTGCCACCCTCTGCTCATCCCTGTCGCATTACTTCCCCACATATGCACCCCATCCAATTCACAAACGTGCCGTTCAACCGTCTTCAGCTGTTACTACAGGAAGTGCGCTTGACTCGCGTTCCACGCGTGCGTAACCGACTTATACAGACGCGGCTTTATTATCTATGTCGGTATGTGCTTTGTTCGCCAGGGGCACGCAGGAATGAAGCGTGTCCTGTTTGCAGCACGTGCGCCATTCCTGCGTTCACACCTGCATTCCTGTGTGCGTGCCAACCCTGCGCTATGCCTGGACGTCGCGCACGTGTTGTAGTCCAGGGCCCAGCTTTTCAGAGCCAAGCTCCACCCATTGCGGGAGCAACGTTTGATTCTTAGGCAAGCGCGTCACACGCGTCTATCAAAAACGCCTGTATGTCCAATTTTGGGAAAGGAAAAGAATTAGCTGATTCCGCAGACATGTAGCGCGCAGTAATGACACATTCGGACATCATTTCATGGCCCCGATGCTGGCAAGTTTGTTGTCAAACACGTTGTCGATCACGCGATCGACACACGGTTGAGAACTACCCGGTTGCCCGACATACAGGGACATAAGCAGAGCGTCGCTCGTTGCTGGGCGTTGCTATGTAAACAGCTACGACTTCTTTGTAAACAAGCTCACTTTCTCCCTCTCTCAGACAAGTAAGAAATGGGCTTCGATCGTGACGTCACAGGTAAGTCAGGTAACTATGTCATGCGCTTCATTTGCAAATCGAGAATGGGCCTCTGGCCGCTAGCACTGGTTGCACGCATTCCACGACCGACCGCATTCGTTTTGAGGCCTGTGGTGCGCATGCGCGAACAGCAGAAGGCTGCCACATGCTGCTGCCGTACCACAAACGGGCGCTATAGCCGCAAGGCGCCGTAACGGACGTGCCAGCAGATGGTTTCAGGAAGCACTACTTCCTTTAGCAGGAAAGCAATGCTTTGTCTGAGCATGGATGGAGGGGGGATAACAATTATATGGTCAGAGGGACGAACTGGTGATCCGGGAGGGAACGGTTGGGGGGGGGGGGGCAAACCGATTGCCTGGGGCCAGCCGTTGAAACAATATAATGTTCTGCAGCCGCCATGGTGCAATGACCTGCCCAGTTTTCACGCTGCATACACCGTTAGTTCTCCTGTTTCCAAAGCAAAGCTAAATAAAACCAAACAAGGCGTGCCACGCCGCAATTCAAAGCCTGGGTGTCTGAAAAAAAATGCACTTGCTCGTACAAGACTGCAGCAGGACAACAAAAGTGGCGTGGTAGGTGTGCGGAGCGGTCTTAACAAGTCTGTAGCACACCACGATATCCCAGCAGACGCCCCGGCTATCTCCCTCGCGGAGGGGTCCACTTCGTGCCGTGTAAGCGCCCGCCGTCCGGCGGCGTACTCACAGAACAGCCGCGTGAGCCCGCCGAACACCTTGCGCGCTGTCGTCGTCTTGCGATCGAGCGCGCGGATCATGGGGAAGTAGAGGTTCGGCACGAGCCAGCGGTGCGTCAGGAACGCGCCGGCGCCCTCCAGCACCAGCACCAGCACCAGCAGCAGCAGCGGCGCGGCGGCGCGCATGGCGGCGTCTCGGCGCGGCGGCGGCCGCGGCCCGACTCAGCCGCGGCACCGTCGCGGCGCGTCACGGCGAGGGTAACGGAGCGTCGCGCCGTGACCGAGCGGGCGCCGCACGGCCGCCTCCGAGAGCGTGGCGCCGCGCCGACGCCTCTGCGCCCGTGGACGTCCGGACGTGGACGTGGACGCCGCCCGGGCGCGCCGCAGGCCGCGTGTCGGTCGCACTGTTAGGTCAACGGTTCGCCGGCGTCGGCTCCGCATCAGCGAGGAAACGAAAGTGTTCGAGGGTCGGTGGCGATGGAGGCGGCGGGGTGAAGAGGGCGGTGCTCGGACGTGCGGATGTTGTCGTCAGGTGCGGGTAGAGCGCACGGAACGTGTCCTCTGTCTATGTCAAGCTCACTGGCGCACTTTCACAAGTGCCGGTCGAGCCTGTGCCATGGCACGTCGTGTCATTTATGGCATGGATACTGATGAATGGCAACGCCTAGCATTTCAAATCATATAGTGGGGTGTTTGTGATGCATTGGTTTAATTTATAACCGCTGAATTCGGCTATAAATTGGCAAAAATGGTGAATCGTTAGCACGCACGCGGATGTGGGGGGTCACTTTGATGCCTCCCAAGGTTTTTCCAAAACAAGTTCCGAGTGGCGCGGCGTAGCCCGTCAAACTTTGTAGTGCTGCAGGCAGTTGCGTGGCCGATCTTTTGGCATGAAAAATTGGACATCCATTGCAAGTTCGTCGACTTATGACGGGTAAATGCTGGCCCATGGCTGTCAGCGAAAGCAATTCCTGGGGCATCATGCAATATAATGCGACAGCGTCGTATCAGAGGAAGTTATACAGCTTTGAAGTGGTCTTCTAGATAGCTAAGCTATTGATATTAGGATTACGACTACATATATTAACACGCGCCCGGGTGGCCGGCTAGATACCCTTCGCTCGGTTGGGGGGGGGGCAATTTAATTCCACTAAGATCTCGGGAACTAAAAGTGCTAGAGACACCACACTTACAGGGTGTGTTGAATTGTACGTGAACTCACTTAGGTCAAATTTTCAGGCTGCTAGGTCATGAACTTCAGGTCGAAAAAGGCCAAACAAGGTCAAGTTTTAGGTTGGTCTCTAAGTTCCCTCAGAACGTAGATAACCGTTTCTTAGCAAAAGATCACATTCTCATTTAAGGTCAGTGACCTTTTTGGCCTTTTGAAGGTCAAGGTGACCAAAATCATACAAGATTGCTTTGAGCTTTGCATTTGACTAAGCGACAAAGATTGCGCTAGGCGGTATGTTCCTAAAACAAAATGTTGACCTAGGTTATTTTAGCTCAATGACCTATTCTGGCCTCTAAGAAGTCCATGGAAGAAATGTAATGCGGTTCCTGCTATCAATAAGCTCGACACGAGCTCCAGAAACTATCGCATACAGCAAACCCTAGAGTAATAAAACAGGTTGGGTTTGACCTCGGTGTGACCTTCGTACCTGACCTAAGGTCAATTTAATTTGCTCATCCAACTGTTGTGTTGCCTAAGAAAGCATCTCAGATATGTATGGCTTCGTGTAACACTCCGTTGTTGGATCAGATTGAAGGATTCCCTAAATATTGCCTTCGATGAAACCGTGCCCTGACTTTGACCTGCCCATAGGTCAGCGACCTTACAAGGTACGTCTAAATTTTTATGTCAGGCGATCCACTATTCAATTGTCTACAGTTAGGCAAAATGTGGCGCGGCTTCGCAGCGCCGTTCGGAAATAATTTTGGAAAAACTTTTGGGGGTCAATTTGAGCCCTCTCACCCGAGCGCGTGTTAACCTTGGGTGTGGTACAATGGTCAGACCATGGTCAAAACAGAATCGCTGTACCAATGGAAAACGTGATATTCGGTGTGTTTAGACATGTTTGACACCTATATCAAATTAATTGGCTACAGCGAAGTCCAAAATGTTTAGCTGACTTCATGAAAGTAAACAATCGTCACTGGCCTGAAATGATCTCTACCAACATTTCGCTTTCAGGAGTGTGGCGCCTCCGGTAGTATTTGGCGTTGATTGTAAATTCAGCCATCATTGTAATCCCGCATGATTTAGGCGGTGTCATCTTATAAAGGTCGAAAAGGTCATTGATCTGATTAAATTCCACTAACACGTAGTTGATGCGTGATATCTAGACGTAAGCTGGTTGCGTGAGGGGTTTGAGGGCGCTTCGGACACCGATTTTGGAGTTTAAACTTGTTTGCCCTTATTTGGCCCAATTGTCAGGGTTTGACCTAAAAACCTCAAAATTTGACACAAGTGAGTTCATATGGAACCCCCCATGCGGGAGTGAAACAAGTTTCTGATTTACCGGGCATGATCGGTAATAAAAGCTGACATCTTTGCAAACCAAATGCTGACGAAATTGCGAAAATGCAAGCAAATTTAAATAGACCAGACCATATTACAACTCGCTATCTCGGCTTAACGAAACTTAAAGGCTTAGTATTGGTCTGTGCTCGTTAACACTCACAGCGTGAGCATATGTAGAACACATGTCGAAATGCTAACGTTCCGCTTTATGAACAAATTGAGCAATAAGATGCTGCTAAACATGGTAGCCTTAATCAGGATAGTTTTAACAGGTGCCAGAAATATGCTGCAAACTATATTATACCAGTGTTGACGTTACAGATCAGCGGCGACACAGTGTTGTTCCAACGCCACTCAGACCAGTGTTTTTCACAGATTTTCCATCCGAGATTTACTTCACATACTTAACAGTATAAAATACCAAATAATTAGGCTCATTACTAGTTGTAAGGATCGTGGCTGGCCGCAGTGATCAGTTTGCTACGCGGGGTTTAAAAACGTCGCGTCATTTGAGACATGTGGGCTTGATTACTCGCCACGCGGTAAAGCGTTGGGTTCAGTGCAGGTCTGTGGGATGCTGCCAGTTGTGGTTATGTCGTGAAAGGCTGACTGGCTAGAAGAACGCGACTAATCGTCATCTTTTTAACGCAGTGACGTTAAAAAGCCCTATCGATCTAGGATTGCTGTTTGTGAACATCTGAACTGTGGCCCCAGACGTTTGATTTTGATTTGATGTTTATTTTCGATTATGGGCATTACGCGGTACATGATATGATGAGTGGATTGGCGCATAAGCGGAACGCTTAAATCTGAGCGCCTTTCCTAACAATAACAAGATATGGTCATCGCCGCCAGGGAACCCACGACACACCGCCCACTCGCCCGATCCGTAAGCCGACACGGGCCAGGCGCCCGCCGCCGCTCCAGTCTACACATATAGCCGTCTCGGGCCGGCGGCGGACGCCCGGCCCGGCAACGCCACCCAGTGGCCCGTCTGATGCCCGCGCCTGCTGGAAGTTTTTAGGCGAAGCGTTTGGTCTGACAAATAAAGGTTTAAACAATTTTTGCTATGTGCTGCCCATTGCGATCATGTAAACCGTTACCTGTTAGATAGATACTTAGTTCCTCGTTGGGAGTGAGCTAAGAATAGTTTGGAATGATGCGATCTGTTTTAAGTAGCATTGAAATTCGGATTTCATGAAAGCGAGGACAATTCGGTACAAAGTGTTTAGGGTCTTCATATGGATAGCCACATAAGCAAGAGGGACTATGTGTAGTTGGATTTTGAATTTCGAACAGGTGGTACCCAGGTCTAACACTCCCAATCTTAGCCTAGTATTTAGGATGTTACCATGCCTGGATCCAAAGCTGCGATACACCGGAGGCGCTGACACACCGCAGCGCTGGTATATTTCTCGTTTGAACGAACGAGAAGACTGGAGAGATGACACCTCAAGCGGGAGCTGGTTCCATCTTCTCGTAGTTGATGGAATATAGGATTTTTGGTATGTTGAGGTTCTGTTAGGTGGTAATGTGTCATTGTATTACGTAGTGGGCGTCCTGTCGCAAGTGCTCGTGTGTCAGGTGGAAGTGCTGTGACTTTTGTTGGCGATGTTGGTTGTTTATGAGTCTGTGGAACATTGTCACTTTGTGCATGTTTCTTCGTGATTTGAGACTGTTCCATCCCGGATCGTCCAACAGTGCGTGAGTGTGTGTTCTGTAGAGTGCACCGGTGATTAGCCTTGCTGCTCTGTACAGTCTGTCAAGTCTAAGGGAGTCGCTGGTTGTCACAAGTCCATCGTATATCACGTCACAATAACCAACAAAGGAATAATGTAAGTCGTATATATGTCGTTGAGGATATGCCGAAGGTAAGCGGAGGACGTTGGAACGACACATGTGGAAGATTCATCCGGAGCTTTCTGCTGCTGAAACAGCGGCTTTGAGGTAAGAGACTAAGTATTACTGTTGTAGGCCTCTCACATTGCCCTTTGCGCCTCTAGCTAGCGTTGAACGAAGGTGGTAGAGGTGTTTAAAAATGACGTTTGCATCTGTCGATACCAATAGTGCATGGCTTTTGCACTAAGTGCTTGGGATCATGTTAGAAAGTGGGATTTCTGCACCAGTAATAATTATGCAAATGTAATGAAGGTCGCCTGCGCGCTCAGCTGGTTGTACAATGATGTGACAAAACCAATGGTGATATTGCTGTCAAGTACTTGTAGAATCATGTTGTCGGTAAATGAAGAGCTACATGGATGCAGTCTTGCAAACAGCGTAGAATTGAGGGATCAAGGGTGGGGCAATCAAAATGACTGAGTCTGTCTAAAACTGCAATCGAAACCATTTTCGCCACAGATTTTACGCACCTTCTTTTTCAGTTGGGAGCAAGGATGTGGCTTCTTGAAATTAGTTTTCAAGGACCCAACCCTAAAAATTGTTATAAATGAAGAAAAATGCTTAGCAATGATAACCAAAAATAGGAAGCTACATCCATGGTAAAGAGGCACAATCCCCCCCCCCCCCCCCCCCCCCCCCCCCC